TCTGAGAAGGCCATGCAGGGCCCTTAACCCGCGCCCTGCTGGGGGGTGTTTGAACACCCCCCCTTGTGGTTTTTCGCGAATATCTCAAAAACGGCGGCGCGGAGCGCCGCCGTTTTTGGTACACCTTATCATACATCAATTCTACACATGTTATGAAAATTTCAGACCAAGGTCATTCAAGGTCAGGTCACCAGGTCACTTGAAGTGACCTCACCTCATAAAAAGTTTCAATGTCTGTCATAGCTACACCAAGTGACCGATCGCTTTGAAACTTTCAGCGATTGCTAAGAGCAATAGCATGTACAAAATGTATATCTCAGAATTTTGATATCGATGACCTAAGGTCAGGTCAATTTTGCGACCTCCCCATTATAAGTCAATGGGAGAAAATTGAAATGCGCCTCTTTTGGACGAAAGACATTATAAACACTCCCAAACACTGAATTACAAGTGGTTTAGACACACTGAACATGAAAATGGTGTCCGTGACCCCTGTTTATGCCCTGAGGTCATCTTAGGTCACGAATGGTATCTAACAGTTTTTCGCAAATAACTTTTGATAGAGGCATGCTATAGCGATGAAAACGCCACAGATGTGTTCAGCTCGACGATACGGATCGACTGATATGCAACATGACCCTTCCCGGTCAGGTCATGACCTTGACCTGAGGTCAAATTTTCAAGTTGACCTTTCAAGGTCAAGTTATAGTTCATTCGATGCGTCTTGACGAGAGGAACACGATGCCGGTAAAAGCAAGCTCGTACAAGGCTTGGGTCAAAAGTTATTGCAGAAAAACTGTTTCCAAAAAAAATCGGCTATTTTTGCAGTTTTTGCCCCCTGCAGGCAAAACCGTTGACGTTAGGTCAAATCTGAGAAAATTACTCAGAAAGGGCGTTAATAGGGCTATCGAATGCGCTTTTCCGCTGCGCTGTAGCTCCATTGGTTCCCGAGTTATGCGTTGGCTTCTTGGAAATTTTCGACATTCGACCTGGAAATCGGCGAAATTTTGCCTTTAATGACCTCTGGTGACCTAAAAATTGACCGAAGTGATTTCGTCATTATTTTCGACGCTCTTTCGAACGCCGCCTTCCGCGTATCGCTACGTGGCCCAGGAGCCGAGTTAGAAGGGGGGGGGTGTTCAAACACCCCCCCCCCAGCAGGGCGTGGAAATCCAGGACCCCCAGCAGGGCGCGGGTTAAGATGCCAAGCCGACATCTGAAAATTCCTCTTCTCTTCAGGCCTGTGCCTGCCTCACCGCCCGGCCCCTCCCTGACGTCTAGGGGTTTGACGCCTAGGTATTCATCAGGACACCACACCGGTCCATGATGGCTCCAAACTGACACCTGAGGCTCCTGCACCGGCTTTTGAGGGGCCCACCGACCTCTGATAGCCACCACGCAGGTCTCAAAAGACCATGTCGATTGTTGATAGCTAACCCCCCAAGTCTTGGAAGGCCTGTGCTCTATGCAGATTCTTGAGGGCTTTACGTGGGCTTGTAAACATCCCGAGCTGGCTCTAGCCTAGCTCGACCGTGCCCCGCAGAGCAGGGCCCCAGGCTTTCCAGTTTTACGCCACTGAGGGGTGTTTGAATATTCCCTTCTAACCTGACTCCAGGGTCACGTAGCGACAAGTGCGGCGGTAGGCGGCTTTCTAAAGAGCGTCGAAAATCATGGAGAAATTACTTCAGTCATGTTGCAGTTCAGACCAAAGCCCACGCCATCATGTTCATCGAAGGAAAAGTTTCGCCTATTTCGACACTCGAGGACATATAAAGCTATAGCGCGCTGCAAGTGGGTTCGATAGCTCTCTAACGCGTGCAATCAGCCATGGACGGGGGGGGGCGTATCGGCCAAACCCGTCGACCCGATCATAAATTAAGAAGGCTAGAAAGACGAGAAAAGCAACAGATAGCTGTAGGATGCTTCAGAATCGTAGAGGTCATTTTTCGATTAGGTCATCGCTGAGGTCATCGAAGATGAATTTATGATAAAATAATGATAAACACAAAGACAAGATTACGACGAATAAATTCTAGTTTTTATATTTTCACAAATAACCGTATAACTCGTGAACCAAAGAGCTAGAGCTTCGCCGAACAACTCATTCGATAGGCCTTTCAAAACGCTGTCGCTTTTAAGATTTGACCTCAATGCCTCATATCAATGGTTTGGCTACAGAGCAGAGGGCAAAACCATCTAAATAGTCGCATTTTACCAAAATAGTTTTGCTAAAAACTTTTGCAAGAACTTTGGTGAGAAAAATTATGAGACATTTACTTTGTCATCATTCTCTCGTTAACATGCATCGAATGTTAACACCTATAATTGCACATAAAAAGTTCAACTTCAAAATGTGACCGCAGATCAAGGTCATGCCCTTACCTACTTGAGAAGTTCATGATGGTCATCAACTCATCCGTATGTATGATCTAACACCTTCAAGACAATTTCATTACTCTACCTCGTCTCCTATATCAAAAGTAATAGTCGAAAAACTGATGTTGAGCTTTTTTAACCTTCGCCCTGGTGGGGGGGGGGGCCATTTTGGCCCCCCCCCTGTGGTTTTTCAGCGATAACTCAGAAACCACTTGAGTTAGCGCCCTGAAACTTTGTATAGCTGTTTATTCAACATTTTTACATCATGTCCTTTTTTGGGGGGTTCGGGTCAGGTCAGGTCAGGTCACAAGGTCACCAAAACTGACACCACCTCTAAAAAAGTTCAAAGCTCTCTCAAAGGCACAGCTTTTATCCGATCGATGTAAAATTTACAGTACTTGAAGATGTCACCCAGCTCTACAAAATGGCTATCTCGGATTTTTTATAAATGTGACCTAAGGTCAGGTCAGGTCATCGCTGCTCCCCATTATAAGTCAATGGGAGAATCGAAAAGTAGTTGTTTTTCAGCTAAATCGGGCGTGATTGTTCCTATATTTCGTTATTGAAGTGTCTTGGGTCAGCAAATCACAGCCCATGTGAAACCATTTGCTTGTGACCTCGCTGAGGTCACGCTAGGTCATCTCCCTGGTCACCAGAGGTCACCAGCGGTTTTTCTGCACTTACTTGTTATTGAATAGAGATAGAGACTCCGTTCGACGTTTATCGTGTTTGTCTCGTCAATGCGGATCGAATGATATGCAGCATGACCTATTTCGGTAAGGTCATGACCTTGACCTGAGGTCAAATTTTCAAAATGACCTTTCGAGGTCAAACTATATATCATTCGACGCGTCTCGACGAGCCAAGCACGATGGTGCATGAATCGTTTCTCTATTTTCTCGTGAATGCATGCTATAGTTAAAAACATTTTCAACGAAATTTGCCAAGTTGACCTTGCATGACCTCTGTAGGCCAAACCGTTGAGCTGAGGTCAAATCTGACGAACCTTGGCGAAAGAGCTTGAAAAGAGCTATCGATTGCTTTTTTCCGCGGCTCTCTAGCTCTTCTAGTTTCCGAGCTACAGCGGAATATGTCCGGCAACACCGAAAACACTGAAATTTGACCTATGATGACCTCTAGCGACCTCAATATTGACCTTAGCGAAAAAATGACCGAAATACTTTCGAACGTACTTGTTATGGGCTTTCGTTTGCTTTTTTCTGCGTCTTCCTAGCCCTCTTCGTTTTCGAGTTAGACGGGGGGGGTCATTTTGGCCCCCCCCCCCACCAGGGCGAAGGTGGCTCAGACCCACACCAGGGCGCGGGTTAAAAGCTTTTTGACCTAGCCCGAACATTTGAGTGGCCGCTGGCCATCAATTGCACGCTGTCCGTCAAATATGGGCAGAATGGTCGTGTTTCTGTAAATATGCGGTTGTTTTTTACGTGCCTCTTCAGATCAAGAGATATTTGTCCTTTTCCCCGATTTGGCTGGTAATGATCAGGACAATGATCTGAATTTTCGTTGTTGGTAAGGGGCCCCCATTAGGTTGAGGGGGGTCCACTTTGCTGGGGGGCCCATCGCGAACGTCTCTCACCCCCGTCGCCAGAGTTCTGGCTGCGCCACTGGGCATCTAAAACTTCAAACTCACTTCAAAGCATTGTTTCCTTAGTTGCTGATTTAAAGGGACCCTCCCACCAGACTTGTGCCAAGGTCCCAAAAAGATCCGAGATCCAGGGTTCGCAGAGTCCAAGGTCTGGGACCTTGATGGATCCTGGACCTTGCATTGTCATTTTTGTCGCGAGACCTTGGAAACCCAGGACCTTAAAACATCCATATGCCGCGAGACCTTGGAATCCCAGGACCTTAAAACATCCATATGCCGCGAGACCTTGGAATCCCAGGACCTCAACATTTGCATATGTCGCGAGACCTTGGAATCCCAGGACCTCAACATTTGCATATGCCGTGAGACCTTGGAATCCCAGGACATCAACATTTCATGTGACATGAGACCTTAGAAACCCAGGACCTCAACATTTCATATGCCCTAAAACCATGGAAACCCAGGGGTTAGGACCTCAAAATTTTGGTATGCTGCAAGACCCTGCAGAATGCAGACCTTCAGTACCAGTTTTATTATTTGTCATGGGATCTTAGGAGAACGGTCTGGACCTACACCATCATTTTGTTGAGGGACCTCAAGAATCCTGGAAGCTGGACCATGAGGTTTATGTTGCACATGGGCCACTAAGGACACTGCACTAGGTTTTGTCTGTAAGCACTTCAATAAATATCTATGGTTGAGCGACCAGCTGCAAGGGGCTAGATAGCTACACGAAGAGAACGAACCAGACTGTGTAGACATACACCTATAGAGCAAAATCGTTGCCATGGCTGTGAGGCAGAACTGGAACAAGAGACCTGGTAGCTTTTTACATTATCAATGAACATGGATTATGAAACTGTCAAACAGTGGACAGTGGTGGTTTGGAAAGTTCTTTTCTAATCTCAGCTCACATATTTTCTCATTCTGGGTTGTGATATGCCGGGCTTGAAGCTACTTGGAAGCTACCCACTGACCAAGTAAGTGTCAAACTTATTTGTTTTGCAATTCATCAAATCACCATTGAGCAATGAGCAATATAAGCAATGATTCCATGACAGTTCAACTTTTTCGTTTAGCAGGTTTTCGTCGGACAATTTTTCGTCTGCAGATTTTCGTCCGCAGACTTTCGTCTATGCATTTGTTCGTCTGTGCATTTATAAGTCCGCGCATTATTTTCATAAGGACATTTCCCGCCTCGTCCAGACGAAAAAATGCCGGACAGAAATATACTCAGACGAAAAATGCATCAAATTAATTCGAACAGACGAAAAAATGCAAGACGAAAAAGTCAGACGAAAATCTGCCGACGAATAACCGGCTGACGAAAAAATTGTCAGATGGAATTTTGTTCAGAGCCTTCAATCTAATGTGAATGAACAGTAAGTAAGGTTTACGCTCGCTGATACTCGAAATCTATTGGCTTAGTCGATCAGTTTTTCTGTGAGCGCTCGCGCAAACAAGACTTAGAACATATTTTACTTTTTATCCTAGGTATTATCAGTGCTGCCAGATTTGGAGGATTTCCGCAAATCTGGAGGATTTTGAACTCTATTTGCGGACAAATTTCGCTTTTGGAGGATTTTTGATTCTGGAGGAAAATCTGGAGGATTTGTCGCCCGATTATTATATTCAATTTCATGGAAAAATATAACACATTCAAGACTAAAAAGGCATTTTCCTGCCCAGCGTCACCCTACCCGTTAGGATATATCACGTCCTTTATCACCGTGAGACTGCAGAATGTCTCAGTCTGTAGCTATATTTACGAGGGTACCAAACTACTGGCGGATCTAAGGGGGACATTTGGGGCAAATGCCCCCGGCCCCCCTGCAGCGCCTGAAATCGACGAAAATTTTCGTTTTTTTTAAGATAAAACGAAAACTCAACAACTTTTATAAGAAAAGTATCTTTTAAACTGCACAGCAGTGCGAAAAGATTCGAAATCCGATGGGTTTTTAGTATTTGGTGAAACTTTTTTGGGGGTATAGCCCCCCGCAGCGTCCAAGACCGCCTTTCTATATCTACCAATAGGATTTGGAGGAATCTGGAGGATTTTTGTAACTGATATAGAGGATTACAGCCTTCCCCATCTGGCAGCACTGGGTATTATGTAACTGAATGTGCAGAAAATCGAAAGCATATACCTATCCAATTCAACTTTTCCATTTCTATGAAGCCTGTAGGTTTTATTTCTGGTTTTTTATATTGCCTGAAAGAATACTTGAATGTCTGTCTTCAATAGCTGTAAGGTGCTGTCCTACATGCCTACTGATAAGGTAAGATTGAATTGAAAGGGACATGACAATACAAATTGCAAGATACCTATTACCTACCTATATTTTTTATGAATTTGTCAGGTTAAAGAAGGAGATATTGATATTATGATTCATTTTTAACTTGTGTTGAAGCTCCCCCTACCTATGTTGGTTAACGATAAAACCACCCCAGTCCACAGGGTTGCATAGGTTCTGCCCCTTTCAATGTTTCTGGGCATCCGTTGGCAGAATATTTAGAAGTAAGTCTGCTCATCAGAATGTTAGTTTGTTTAAGTTCTTGTTGTGGGACCATGAATACTTTGGATCCTGAGATGTATCCTTGCCGTGGGACCTTGAGGACTGTGGACCCTGAACTCTGAAGTGTGTACTTGTCATGGGACCTTGGGGACTGTGGATCCTGAAATTCACACTTGTCGTGGGACCCTAGGGACTGTGGATCCTGCAATGCATTCTTGTCGTGGGACCTTGGGGACTGTGGATCCTGCAATGCATTCTTGTCGTGGGACCTTGGGGACTGTGGACCCTGCAAAGTATACTTGCTATGGGACCTTGGAAACCTTGGATTCTAGAAATTGAATTTGCCGTGGGACCTTGGAAACCTTGGATTCTAGAAATTGAATTAGCCGTGGGACCTTGGAAACCTTGATTCTAGAAATTGAATTTGCCGTGGGACCTTGGAAACCTTGGATTCTAGGAATTGAATTTGCCGTTGGACCTTGGAAACCTTGGATTCTAAAAATTGAATTTGCCGTGGGACCTTGAGGATCCTGGATCTTGATTTTTGATCCCGGCACAAGTCTGCCTCCCACCTTCAAAAAAGTTAATGAATTGGCATGAAAGTGATGTCGCTCGGTTCAGAAAGAGCAAAAACGAATATCTACCAAATTTCATCGAAAAATATTCACCGGTTTTCAAGATATTAGACTTTTACACTTTTGTTTACTTTTTGGGATCTCCGCTGTTCCTAGCGACTTTATTTGAAAGTGCGGCATTTGTTGCGCGCAAAGCAGCATATACCACCGCGTGCTACAAAACGTTTTAGTCAAACATTTAAAAATCGTTAGATATCTGCGCTGACGTCACACATTCAGAGGGGTATTCCTATGCATTAGCCCCTCTGAATCAAAATGCTGCAATTTTGAAATTCAATATTTCCGATTTAAGGCATTTCTCGATGTTGTGAGTGCCGAAACCGGTAATTGTGAGCCAGGGACCCCATTTTGGCTATCTCAACTCAAATCTAATGTTAAGGTGGGAGGGTCCCTTTAAACGTCCTTCGACTTTAACCATCCATCGCCTGATGGCCTGACCTGTATCTATTATGTTTGACTAACACCAAATGGTATGACCGACTGTGTCCGTTCGTTCTCACGATGATGTCATTCATGGGATGGAACAGACAGAGGAGACTGTTATTTCTCATGTCTCTACGCATGACTCGTGATTTCCACGGTGACTATAAATAGTGATTTCCACTACCACCGTGTGGTTTGAAGCTGTAATTAAAAATGTATCAAAGTGAGCAGATGTTCTGTAAGAGATAGCGCTCCCATTACCTCAAGCTTGTTACTACGACAGATTATAGACATTTGTCGTTTTCGCCTGACACCCAAGTGTTAGGATCACCTCAAGGCTCCTGACATACCTATTCTAAATGCACTTTCATCCTTATTCAACAGTCTGATATGTTTTAGTCTAGATAAGGGCTACAAACATGTTCATCATGTGCGTATGCTGGATCATAAAACATTTTAACCATTTCGATGACTTAATTTTCCTCTCTTAGTTCATTTATTTCGCACTTCCAATGACATTCTCATTACTGTCTTTAACAGCCGTTTTCTTTCGTTTATCAAAACGAGCATCCAAGGCGTGACTTACAGAAGAGTGCAAATCGGCGTTGGACGGGGAAGTCCCTCGATTCCTAGTTCTAATCATCACCAATGATAAATCGCTCACTTGCGCTCCTCTATGCGCTCCTGGCTGATCGCGTGTAAGGTATCAAAGCATTCAGCAGCGCCCGGAACATTAAATTAGCGACGGTCATCGAAATCACAGCGCTCAACCAGCACCGGCTTCGTGGTATGATAAAAACTAGTATTAGTTTGAACGTCATGCTTAGAGCTGCTACGAAAACATGTAAGGTGGGCTGCTGGTCGGATGACTGGGCATATTTTGAACTGAACACCACTGGCAAGAAAAACGGCTTTCGTTTCTGGGGTAGCTGAACTTTGATACGCGCGTCAAAGAAATAATGATAGATTTATCATTATTCACCCAGCAGGTACATGTACGTAATCTTACAAATTTCGCTTAATTTTTGTTCAGAAATCAGAACATGCACCTTGCACATGCCTGTACAAAAGCATAGGTAGGTATACGATTTTCAATGGGTAGGTATTTGCTGGAGAAATTCAATTTTAATTGCAAATCAGTTCCGTTTGTTTGAATAAAATGTCCAGACAAACACCTAACCGGCATAGCATATCATTCGATGCTACAGCCTTTTCGATGACTCATCAGTGCCGTCAAATAATACCAGTGATGTCACAAAGGACTTCTGACGTCACATAACACCTATGACGTCACAGAGCGCCAGTAACACCACAGAATGGACCATGAAGTGAGGCCTCGTCTCTGTTAGCCCGCTGAGACACCATAATCGCTGGATAAATGCGACTGCAAGATGGTCTTGATATCTTCTAACAATCACGACAGAGTGCACCTCCACGACAGCGCCATTAGAAAGGTGCACAGCCGACGCCGGGTATCGTGACATCTACAGCGTAAATAGCTGTGTTGTTTATCACACTCTGTGCACGAATTGTCTTAGCAACCTACAGCCTTCGCTGAGTTGAGTGAGGGACGTAACGAGTGTTATTCTGCGACTCAGCAGGGCATCTGCATTCGGTTCACCTGCTGTGGTCATGTGCCTACTGCCTGCTGCCTAGCCTTTGCCCAAGAGCGCACCGTCGGCTCCTTATAGACGGATTCGTCCTAACCCAGGGTGCACGAGCGTCAGATGGGCGTGCCGACACCCCCCCCCCCTTCCCCCTCTTGCGGCGTCACGTTCCTCGTAGCGCTTGCTCCGTGCCGCGTCACGTGAAGTGGCGGGATGGTTTGATACCACCGCAGATCTTATCATTTTATCTGTGTGTGATAGTGCCAAATAGAATAGAACATATCGGCATTGCAACTAATAGAAGTTTAAATATTATTCAAAGTTCCTAATTCCAAAACTTTCAAATTCAAATGAAATGTTTCGATGATCGACAGCTCATAAATGTGATTCTGGGTTTCGTATTTCCACCATATCTCTGTCCGCTTTCACCATTACCCCAACAATCATTAACAGCAATCACCATCACCATAAGCAACACCACCACCACCACGGCACCACGGCACCACCACCGTCCTGCATCCTGCACAGTCATGGCATTAAGGTGACCTTGGAGAGCCGTCCGGTCCGGTCCGGTCCGGTTCGGCCTGCAGTTCACGGGAGGAGCGGGCACGGCACCTCATGCCCAATCCAGACCGGTTCGCCACGGCACGGCGCTACGGCGCTACGGCGTGCGGGGTACAGAGCTACGGCGCTACGGCGTGTAACGACGGCGGTACGGCGTTAAGGCGTGCATGGCACGGCCGTACAGCGCTACGGCGTGCGGGGTACCGAACTACGCCACGCCAGAGTGTAATCGCAACGCCGATTGTGGATTGCTCTTGATCTTCAATACATACATACATACATACAACTACGGCGCTACGGCGTGTTGAGCACGGCGGTATGACACTAAGGCGTGCATGAAGGCGTGCACTAAGGCGTGCATGACACGGCGGTATGACGCTGAGGTGTGTGGGATGTGACGCTATGATGCTACGGTGCTGTGGAGCGCATAGTACGGCTCTTTAACATTTGCAATTTGCATGCATCGATACGGCCATCACATGCCGTAGGGGTTCAGGGATATATTCGTTTATTATTTTTTAGAGTAAAAACCATGGACATCGTTTATGATTTATGTGTGCCCCATTGTTAAAATGACATAGGTATGTAGTGTGGATGAATGAGTTCTGCTTTGCAGGTAATCCCTCAAATAAGTTGACTGTATGTAGTAGGTGCTAAAGGAATAAGGAGATCGCGCAAAGGAACTAAAAGTATTAAGCCAATTATGCATCGTCAGTCCCGATAAATGAAAGTTTACGTCTTGCCCAGTTGACTGTACCATTGATATATTTGCAATGTGCCGAGTCAGGATAAAGTCAGGTCTTGCAGTCGTGTGGGCAAGGCAAGTTGTGCCGTGCTGTCGCTAATTACAATACGGAACAGAGGAAATTCGGAACATAACAACTGATTTACTGATAAACGGTAATGCCGTGTCTCAGTATCCAGAATAAGACTTGGCGTGATGGATGAATGACATGCAGAGGACCTTATGAAATGATAATTGCACATTAGTAAAACAGAGCTCTCATGCAGGTTGTGTCGATCTTAACGATACACTGCATGCATTGTTTACTTTGGTTTCATATGCCAATGTGCAACATATTATTCAATGCACATCATTAGGCACCTACGTATGCATCATTAGGCACCTTCCTATTGTATGTAATTGGTGAACAAATAAAACAAAGGAAACACTGCTAACAAATCATTCACGGCGCATCATCAAATCCATATTTGGTCTAATGTGCGACTGATCTATTCATTCCCTGTACGGAAAGCGCCATTACAGACCAGCAACTATATCACCTAATAGCGTGTCATGTTGGACTCATTATACAGATTACGTCAAAGGTGTACACTGTACAATATCTGAGAATTACACGGACAATCCCTTCCCGAGAACTTGCAGTCAGGGCAACTTGGTCGCGTGAAACTCCATAACAGAACACGTAACCGGGCAAAAGTCATTGTTGATGCTCGGGTGTTCGCGAAACTCCTAATATAGCCGGCATTAGTCATTGGATTTAACATACATTATTCAGTGCTATATAATTTTGATGCGTGGATGTGTCATGTTGAAACGCAGTGTCGTGCAGACTTGGATTTGTAATGACAAAGACAGCATTGTTCATGCTTAGGAAGTAATATATCAACACATGATTGGCCGTATGTAAGTGGTTTTAACGCACGAGTGCTTCAAGCAGCCAGCATGAATTTAGGCGCCGTGGCAAGGCTGGAATTGTTCATCTCAATAAGATGACCTAGCAAATAAAATTGGCGAAGGCTGCAATTCACTTTTTAATCAACAGCACATATTATTTCAATTATCAGTCTTTGCGTGGCTATCTTTCTTCGCCCGATTATCCTCGCTCGAAAAAAGAACATTGCGAGATTTTCTTCACCGGGTGAGACCCGATGTAAGTACTATGACGTGAAATGTTGGTCACTGATTTGTCCTGTCCGCTATTCAGGGACAGACGAAGCACGCGACCGCCCTCGTGGCCGCATCACGAAGGCTTACTCAATCAGCCTCTAGATGTCAGCTAACTTTCCTTTAGACATTCAGATGCACATCGCCCACCCCGGGGGCTGATGCCTGCGAATTCAAAGACAAGCAAAGAAAGCGGACGAATCTTGCGCATTGTTTCAAAAGCACCAGTAGTGGCCGGTGCAGATGACAGATGACTCGGCGGTGTGTTGGGGGGGGGGGGAAGCATTCAAAACCACGAACTTCGGCACTTCTGTCCTCCACCTTCATCTCACGTCGCCTTTAGTCATCAACCAACCACACGGCATATTTTCTGTCACAGTTTATTGTTCACTTATGTAACCGTCTACGAGCACAACATTTAAATACAATAGATGCTTCGCCACTCGGCAGCCTCACACTTCACACACATCACCCTCAATCTCTGAACGAACCCGCTACATCGCAGCGAATCAGCCATTTGTACTCCGTCAGCATAGCATCCCTCCGGAATGTCGTAGAACGTATAAAATGCGCCCACATCGGCGCCTTTATCACATCCGCGCCAGGCGTGCACCACACACGCCGCACTGCGCCACAATTGCACCTCGCGACACGCAGCGTAGTCTTTTCATTCGCATCATACACACTCGTTCGCTTCTCACGGACGCACACGATAAGTCCCGATTACAGCGCCCCTAGCGGCGGTGGCGCGCACTCGCAGCTGTCTCTAGTCCCACGGCACGGCGCCACCGTCGCCGGCTGCGTTACCGCGCTGGTGGCTTTTGAGCTTTCCTCTTCCGGGCTGCGAGCATGTCGTAGAATGGGTTGAGGCTGATGCTCTGCCTGTGAACGAGAAGGGAAATTATATAAGAAGATGTTCCATGACAATCAATCAAATACATGGTGACTGGCTGGAACAACTGCGAAAAGTGTCGAGTGGATCAGTCTTTATATTATACGTGAAATACACAACACCCGTGAATGCATCAGATCCAAAACCGGCGAAATTCAGAGTGACCACTCATATCATTCATCAGATATCCTAAACCGAGCCTTGTTCAGTCCTTGAGGCTCGTTCCATCTCGATGACTCCATCAACCCCACTATCCCAGTGGCAGTATCCCACCCACCAAACTTTCCGTCCGATGACATCGCCCACTATCACCCTCCAGGCTCCAACCATCACCCCCACCTCCACCCCCTCCTCTCCGCCATTCTCCACTCACTGTATGGCCTTGATCCACTCGTTCATCTCCTCCTGGGTGGCCGCCGACATGCGGTAGGCCGTGTGCTTCCCCTCCACCACCTTTCCGTCGTTGTCCGTCTTGCAGGCCTTGATGTAGTCGGTGCCAGAGGCGTACAGTTCGAAACAGCTCGCCTTGCTGCGGTCCTCCACTTCACGGACCTGAGGGAGGGGAGAGGGGTTATTGGGGGCGACTTCACAGACCTCAGAAAGGCAAGGTCATTGATGCTCCTGGGAGACAAGCGGCGTGTCAGGAGGCGTTGCCTCACGGACCAGAGCTAATGGGTGGTCATTGGGGGGTCACTTCAGGAATCAGATAACTGTAACGGTGACTATGGGCTACCCAACGGACATGAGAGGAGAAAACGAGACAAGAGGGGTCACTAGACCTGAGATGGGCACAGGCCATCGGCGGAGAACACATAAAGGACACAGTGCGAGTAGGGTTTACATAGGGTTCAACACAATGTTTCACCTGTTCGTTCCGTCGACGAAATTCATCAAATCCCATTCAGTACCTACTCGTGTTAGCCCGAATGCCACGGGACCAGCCAAAACTAACTAACCAGCCTAACTTGACCAGACCAGATCAGACCAGAGTCCACGCCAGATGCAACCAGACCAAACCAGATCAGACCAGACCACACTAGACTGACACGTACCTGAATGTTTTCCAACGGTATGATGCCTCGCGGTTCCTTATCCGTCGTATACTCGAAGTAGTAGAGGCAGTTGTCATTCAGGATGAACCACCGTCGCTTCCACGACTTGTAGCGGCCACCTGGCGGTGAAACGGTGAACTTTAGTTTGGGTTTACCGCCGCAGTGTGGCGTCAGACAGCACAGACTGGAGGAATCGCCACGAGTGAGACGTGAATCAGCAGCTCGAAGGGCCATCAATCCTTGTCCTACTTCACTAGCTCGAGGGAGAAAAATATCGAGAGCAAATGACAGAGAGGTTCAGAGAGTGCCTTTTTACTCACTTCCTCTGACCCGAGACTAATGAGCTTTTCACAAGCCTTGACAGAGAGGCAAATTCTTGAACCGTTTCATAAGCAGAGTCAAAGAGGCACTCTGCGCAGTCCAAACACCCGTTTTAGACGACTCCGACAGTGAATGAGTGCCCTCCAATTATTCCACCTGGCAGGGGGCAGCCACCCGTCGACCCACATTAAACGCTCCCGATGCATCAGCGTCAAACTCTCGGCGCCTTTTCAGGAATACGGCGCGTCGGCGCAGGAATCGCTGGCTTAAAATCAGCTCTCAGGTTCATGGCTTACGCTCTCCAGTCTATCAACTAAAAGGACTGGTACCACTCTCCAAGCCTGCACTCTGAGCATCTGTCTGTCCCTCCAAAACCACCCAGTTTTCACATTTAGTCCCGGTAAGACTCACCCTGTTTCCACAACCATCCTTCTTTGTCCGGATTGAAGAAGGTGTGCATAAGATCGTTGCCGTCATCTTCAGGAATCATGAACGGCTCAGACTTGATGCTCTCGTAGAGGCTGACCAGCAGCTCCCGCGGCAGGTTACCTAGGCAACGGGAGAACAGTGTGAGCAAACGACAGTTTACCTAGGCAACAGGAGGGCAGTGCTACCGCCTACCAATCAGACTGACCAGCGGCTCCCACGGCAAGTTACCTAGGCAACGGGAGAACAGCGTTAACAAATAACAGGTTACCTAGGCAACGAGAGGACAGTGTGAGCGAACGGATTGAACAGCAGCTTATAGGGCAGGTTCCTTAGGTAGCCAGAAGAGAATACCCTGAAAACCAATGTTTTGATTAACAGTACCAAGAACAGGTTAGATGTGTAACGGGGTCAGACGACAGACCCCGTCAGGCTATAGGTACTGGATGAATAACTTGAACCAAACACGGGTGGCCGCATGTTCACTTTGCGTTTAGGCAGGTAATGAGTGAGGCTAATGCAAATATCGCGTGAGACGGGAGAGAAGGCTTTCACCAGTTCCCTGGCAATTAACCGCCAGCGTCTGCCGCCATTGGGAAAGACCTTCACATTTGCCACGCTAGGTTTTAACGTCAATCTAATCGGACACACCTATCGCTTGATGTTGAGCTCGAGTCAGCCAAAGTGCATGGACTTGCCATTAAAAACAACAATGCAGTAAATGTTCTCCAAAGCATGACTAATTACTGCATGCAGATTCCTAGTGGTTACTGTTGAGACCTAGCAGATCTGTTGATTATTTCATGGCATGATTAGAATGACCAATGGCAATGACGGAAACAATATTAGTTACGGAAGCGCAGTCGACTAAAGAGAAGTCAAGGTTGCAAATAACGTCAATTTACAAGCCAGGTGCGATGGCTATGGTTTCATAAGGAGTGAGCGAAACCACAACACTGGATAGCTGTGTAAAAATATGCTCATTTATGGTGTTACATTGCGTGGTGTCAAAAGTATGATGGCAATCAGCCCCCGACGGATCCGCCTGTTATCATGTAGTACGCCTAACTGCAGCACTGCCAAACGCATTCCGTGAGCTGCAGTAATAAAATGCGTTTGGTCGGCACGGGGGTTTCCTAACGGGACGCAGCCATTGTCCCAAACCGGCCGGTGTCTCTTACGGTTGCGTCAGACCGCCTGCTTCGAATGGGGTAGCTGAGACTAGTGCATGTTTATTCCGCCTGCTGAATAGCGAATATTCCTTAGCATATGGTGCATGGTAATTGAACCATCTGTTTTGGTTTTACATGTCAGTGTCCCAAAATTGAGTTTTGTCTTGGGTGTCAGAGGGGAAAATTGCCCACCAAAAAGAGGGGAGAGAGTGAAAAACTGCTGATTCGATTAGATCCAAAAAGAGTAAAAAATGACAAAAAAACATGCATTTTATTCTAAGGTGTAGGATGCTTCATGCTAAACCGGGCATCCACACAACTGCTCTTTCTATAGGTAAAAAATCTAGGTTTTCTTGGTTGGGAGTGGAAAATTGCTCTTAAAAATTGGTGGTGAGAGTGGGAAATGAATTTCATTTGGATGTCGTTTCCCACCCAAATCGACAAATTTTGGGACATTGTTACATGTTGATCAAAGTATGATCAAAGACACTCATATTGATCGGACGATATTCGTGCATACGAATGCTCCAAATGGATTGTGTCATCCGAGTGTCTCAAAGTAGGCGAGCAGGCTTAGCAATGTTTACAATTTATTTCGCATCATTTGTCAAATGTCCTTACAAAACCGCTTGTCTTTTTTAAGGTTCACGGCACGCCGACTGCTGTATTCAATACTTATTTACCACGTTGTGTGCCTTGCTGGCCACCTACCAGTACCCGTGTCTTCATCCGTCACTCCCTCTATCCCCTTCTCTCTCCATCCTCTCACCTCCGTCGTCGATACCTCGCACCATGCTGATGAACTGCTCCACCGACGGCTTGTCCTTGACACTGGGGTTGTGCAGTGACGTGTTCATCATGATGATGGCGTAACTCAGGATGTAGCACGTGTCTGAAAAAAAAAACAGAAAATGACAACAATTAGACACCATGCCATCACTGGGAAGATATGGCCTTGCTGGGAAGCATTTACAGAAATGTGGGCTGGCATCCCAAGGCATCACACCGTGCCAAGGCTATAGAACTCCACCGTGCACGAAAACGATGGGTAAGCATGGATAACATGAGACATTGTGCGTACTTTTTATGGCATACGAGTCAAAATAAGACAGGATCCGACGTCCCTGAGGTTTGAATTGGCTAGGTCCAGAGTCTGACATCGTGCGTTATACGAAAATGAAGTAACAAAGGGACGGAAGTGATCGGAACCAAGTCTGAACACACTGTCAATGGTTTGAGAATAGGTTAGTGGAAGCTAGTGAAATGAGACGAGGAGGTGTCACAACTTTAGGGCATTTCCGACATCGCGGCTATAAACGCGGCAGTTGCGACGACAGAGCATCATTACACTAACATGAACTGAGCCACCCCAGACGGCTTCACAGGAAGAAGGCATTCCTTCGAACGACTCAAGAGCAAACGCTTCAGCAAGGTCAAAATGTCATGGTTCGCACGGCGAGTCGAGACGACATGATTGTCTAGGGGATTGGGCTGGGCCACTGTTGCTGAATCGGTCGCCGAAGGAGCTTCTCGACTAAGGGTCCAGGCATAACTGATTCAGGAATTCTGATTCAATTCGTTCAACTTGACTTTTCGCTCGACGCCTTTCTTCCCCAAGAATGAACCCCAGATTTTTCACATGTTTGATGAACACACAACAATCTAAAACAACAAACAGCCCAGGCGGATCGGCGTTGAAAAAGCCGGTTAGCCGAGAGACAGTGACAACCCCTGGCCGCTGGCCAAGCTCACCAGCCGACGTGTGCTCTGGCATTTAGTGACACCCCCCCCCCCTGTTCCCCCCGGTGGCATTCTGACAGGTCGACGACAAAATTACTCGAGCGGCTGGCAGCGGGCCGACCCCACGTGACAGCGCCGGAAGGGCACCTCTCCAGCCAGCACCGCTGCCACCGCCGCTGCCGCCGTGGCGAGCCCCCCGGGCCACAAATAACACCTTTGCCAGCCGACCGGGGGAGGCGGGAGGGGGGGGGGGCAGGACAGGTGCCGATGCACTGGATTCACGGCGAGAAAACAATGACAAAAAAAAAAACAAGAGGCGAGTGGTCGATTGAAGTCAGTTTTCTTATGTTATCACAATAGTTCCGGTGATAAGTGATATGGTAAATTAAGTTGACAGGTATATCTACACCTTATTTCTGTGAAAATAGATAAGACGTGGGAAAATCGCACATCACGTCATCGTTCTGTTCAAAGGTCAATGGGCCGCGGAAGGCCGTAGATACTACACAGATAGCGACCGCGTGGTATCTTCACAATGTTGGGAGATGACCGCCTCTTGGACATCGCGTGGGCTTCTTCGGTGGCAAGGCACATGGGCCACAGACCTTAGCCATTTTCTGACAATGACACTCTACAAAGTTCGGTCCGAGAAGTCCACCAACAGTTTCAGCATCTCAGCGCAGCCCAGTCCACGCAGAAAACCCTCCACTATCCTCAGATCAGCAATACGCGGTGACTCAGCCCCGGGACTGCCTGCTCCATCCAAACCCGGCACAGGGCAGAGATGTCTCCAACACAGCAAAAACTAAACTCTGCGCCGCTCCACACTACGGGTCTCGTCACAGTGCTGTCTCAGCCGCCGTCGGTCCGTCAGTTCTGTCGACTGACGCTCGTCATTTGGACACGTCTGCTCGCCCGGGCCCTCGTGGCCTCGTGGCGGCGGCGTGTGCCGGCGCGGGCCGACTCGTGCGCCAGTGTGTCATCCCTCGGCGGGTGCCACAGCGGGGGCCAAACAAAGGTCTGCAGCCTGGCGCCGCGGCGGGGGTAGTGTAACACAGAGTGGCGGCTCTGTCACTAGGGAGTTGGACGTCACAGAACCCGTCACAGGGCTGTCTGTCATAGAGAGGGGCTGAGCGTCACGTGCCAGTCACAGGCGTCACGGGTGTCACGCGGCTAGCGGGGTCAGTCCCAAGTGACCTTTGGTCGAGAGCACCGCCCACCGACTGTGTGGGTACGGACGGTGGCCTGAGACATCGTCTAGGGACAAGGATGTCGCCACAAAACGCAGTTGTGCTGTTATGCGGGTCAGTTGGGGTGTGGAGAAAGGGCGCGATGTTTGATGTCAACAAGATTGATGACGGTAGCAAAACATACAGGATACCTTTGGGCCTCATCACAATGAGAGGAATACGGTGTAGTATAATGCTACGTAGTAATTAATGTGAGTTATCTAATGTAGTGCGATACCGTGTTGACTTTGGGGACATCTGCATACCTGTCACTTAATGGTAATGACTACTGAATGAATTGGTGTCTAGGGATAAGCTTGTGTTCCTAACCGGAAAATATAGTATTATACTAACGCATTAAGCACACTACAGTGAGATGTACTGAGGAGTGTATTTATGGAGTGTATAATGCACATCATTAATCAAGCGTTCAACACTCGCCCCCATCTCTGACAGCACGCCGTCCCATTGACCCTATCAAATTGGCGGAACCGGCGATTGAAGCAATGTGATCTTATTGTGGCCATGGTCACTATGATAGCCCGGTGGGTGTGACCGGATGGCGACTATCACTGGGCCAGATGGAGACGGGAGTGAATGGGAAGGAATCAGCAGAGTAGGCGGGGTGATACTACATATGTAGAGAGGAAGGTGGGCCTGGTATAGTTTGGCGTCTCACTGGCGACATGCACGCACACTAGACAGACAGCACGCCACAAACGGCCAACGGTGACCGTAATTTTCCTCGAAAAGCCTCTGTGATTTCAAATCTCATCAGGTACACAAAACGCACGTCATCCCTACACCAAACAATTAGCAACCAACGGGCCTCAGTCCCTTCCTCCCCCCTCCCAACCCCATCAAATCGATAACGGTTTTACCTTATCGGCGCCATCATCTCATTGCGGTAATGACTAACAATCAGGACACACATAATCCCCTCCCTCCTCCCCCTCTGCCTCTCTCCCTCTACCTCCCTCCCCGCTTCTCTCTTTTTTCTCTCCCTCACCCTCACCCTCTCTCCCCACAACAACTCACCTGCACTGGTGAATATATCCGGGTTGAGCTCGCAGTATCTCTTGGCAAAGCACTCCATCATCCTGTCGATCTTCTGGCTCTCTCCCGGCAGCCGGAAGCTCCACAGGAACTGCCGCAGGGCCTGGACCAGGATCAGGTCGCTGAAGTCGTGCAGGTTGACGAAGGCGGTCAGCACGGCGATGTTGAAGTCGGCTCGCTCGCCGAGGTAGTCGCCGATGGCGCGCTTGTTCAGGCCCTCGCCCTTGTGTAGGAACTCGGCGATATCTGGGGAGGGAGGGAGAGAGAAGAGTTTGATGGTGACTGCAGGGTTCCTCAACTTTCGTGAAGGCTTAGCGATGTCATAAAAGGAAGAAAGAGGGAGTCAGATGGTTAGCACGAGGTTAGATGACGTCTGGTAGCGTCTCAGCCACAAAAGTATATTCAACGAGCGTTGTGTCCTGGAATGACAGGCGTTACGGAGACACATGAACGTCGGAACGTCGGTATAATTACTCCCCACACGACAATGAACCAGAAGTCAACGTGTTGATGTTCAGATCATTGTGAAATGTCGTGCCTAGCCTCACCCTTGTCCAACTCAGGCCCATGTCCCATTTGCTCCACCCTGTCCCAGCTCCTACCACACCTGCCCTGTTCCAGCTCTAGCACATACCACACCACACCTGTCCCCAAAGCCCGTCCAGTCGCTAATAACGCCAGCACAGCCGGGTTTCTGACACTGTCGGGCGTCTCCACAGTTGGCACAGCTCTTCATATCGCGCAGCGCCGGCCCGGCACCGAAATAACCCCTGGACGGCTATCTTTAGGTGGCAGCCACCACTGGCATCCAGCAGGTCCCAAATAGAAACGACGACGACCAGCCAGCCTACCGACATTCCATTCCCATTATCAATAGAACCAAAGGAGAAACTGAATGGACGGCGAAAGGAAACGTGAAATGAATGGAAGCGGGTAAAACATATCAGATTGCTTTGGAAACGATTGCGGAGGGGTTGCTGTAACTGCATAACACCAAACAATGCCGATTTCAAATGGTAAACTGTTTTCAGCGCGGCCTTTTGTCCCCACGTGCTGACGTGAAAGCATTGGCCTTTATTGTGCGGTCTTAGCAAAAGGACAAAGAACCCAAGCTAGTCAGCGTTACCCAACTCATGCGTCATATCAGCTGCATACGTTAGCCAGCCAGCCTAGCAAAGGATTAATTTGATGCAGCGCAAACAGCTTAAACTAAGCTATGGCTGTGGCCGGCGTCTGCGGCTGTGTGGGCTTCTATGGCTGTGGCGAGGACCGCGGCTGTGGCTACGCTGCCGGGCGATCCGATGTCACCTACCGGCCACCACAGCCGGTAGTCCCACGCACCACGCACCCTCTGCACGCGCGGCCCGCTTGGAGCCCCGACCGCGGCACTTAGCACCTGTCTGCAGCGGCCCACGAGCAGTGCCCTCCCCATTCAACAGCTCACCCATACGTCTCCTGAGGCGAGCTAGGTAACAGAGAAAGCACGCGCGACGACACACAGACGACGGAGATAAAATTTATCCCAGGTGGTTCGGGGAAAAGAGGTAATCAAGATCATCCGAGAAAGAACTCTCCGCGAGCCAATGTTTAGCAAAATGACAACGGTGCAGGGATGCCTCTACCGCGGCTCCTCATAACAGTTTAGCTCCATGTTTCATCATTGTCGATATACACTAGCTTCAATCGGACCGTCTCGGTGAATGAGTCTACCACCTCGCCGCCCCGAGTCAATTTTCCACCGTCGGGCACCACCCGTGCAGACGCATATAGATCCACTCTAATGCCCCGACAGGTTACGCAACCTCTGCTTGACTGGTGGACGGAAGGGCAGGCCGTTAAAAGGGGCACTTGGCTGGCGGTGACTGCCGCCCAGACGTCCCAGACGTCACTGCGGTCAGAGTGGTCAGTCTTCTGTCACCATCCGGTCAGGGTTCTGAGACAACCCGAGACTCCGCGCCAGGCTCTGGACGCCGGGATGAACCATGGGGGAGTTCTGGTGTTCAGAGGCGACGCGACGGTGTGGTCATCAGAGGAGCTGGGAGGGTCAGCAGTGACACACTTATTGCAAACATCGCTGTGGAGACCCTCAACTTCAAACCACGCAAAGCAGGCGTCTCTTCCAGCCCACAGGATGCGCCGTTTTCACCGGCGAGGTGACGGCGGGCCATTCATACATCCGAATAGAGTGACACATGGCTCACCTGCAGTTATTCACTTCCTCTAATTTGGTGACCCGAAGCTGCCTGCTGACCCCGCCCCGTGACCTGCGGAGTGACCCACGCTGTGACGCGACCCGTGACCCGGCCCGTGACGCACCCACCCATTACCACGTGACGCAGCTGCCGTGACCCTTGCCCCGAGTGACGAGCAGCAGTCCCGTCCTGCCCGAACTAGGTCTCTGACCGCTCCACAGCCCGGGCTGAGCGGACACAGGCGGCGATTTTTACCGCACGTCGCCGGCGAATTGTATATAATTTGGCGCAGCTCCGCACCCCAGCGCGGCGGCGAGGTCTCTCTGAGTCACTGGCCAGAGCCGGACAGCCGGACCGTCACATAGACAGCCCAACGCTTTCGGTTTGGGTTTGGGGTTTATCCAGCTCGGTCCAGAGTCGGGGAAGACGGACGGACCTCTCGTTTGTCCTGCGGCCGCGCCGGAGGGAGTATCGAGATTGTCGGTGGTTGTCGAACCGAGTCACGGCCGCCGAAGGCTGTTTGGCGATGAGCTCGCTTTATGAGTTTGTGGCGCCGCTTCCTGATTACCTCCGCTCCATCATAAGATGGTGGATGGACCGCCTGACACCGTTAGGTCTACAAGACTCGCTCGTGTGAGCCTCAAAGGGAGAAGATTTCAAACAGTGTACAAAAGACTTGCAACACTGGTCACATCCTAACATTTGTAACACCGGGCCACTCAGGTCTGACTGACTTGAAAGTCGGGACACCGCGCCTAATCAACAAGTTAAATCATCACTTAAGCTAGCATTATTCTATCCTCAAACTGGTCAACCAAAGCTGGTTAGCTCAACCCCTCCCTTTCCCCACCATTACTGACACAGCAGACAGGTAATATGCAGCGCACAAGTCAGCACGGCAACACACGGGCAATTTTCCCGGAACCCGCCATATCAGTAGACTTGGGCGGTGTAGTCACATCAGTCACATCATCATACGTCACGTCACGTCACACGGCCACATCAGCGTCAGTCACGAGTTCCCCAGCTCAGCTCTTCGACCGCATTCTAGTTCAGACAAACATACATGCATATTACACACATACCTCCAAGCATACAGCCTGATAAGAGAGACAAGCAGATATGCAAGAAAACGGACAGAAACACCCACAGACAGACAGACACTGCCGTCCTGATTCAGGGTGAGATATCCAAGAGTCGTGACTCCACTTGATAATAACTGATGACGTCACAGATAACGAAATGACGTCACAAACACGTGCTGATTACCGATTAGACTAACTTGTGTTATATCACAGGAAGGGTAACCTCATTCTGAGAGCATCAATAAATGAGCTTTATTCTGTAGGATATTTGACAGATTAAGTTAGACTTTCGCCGCACCGCCAGAAAAGTAGGACCACCGAGCTTTACTGGAGAAGCAGATCAATCCCAAAATGCAATAGTTCAAGAAGATAGCCTTGAGTGCACATCTCACTTAAATTCGTCATTGCCGTGCTCACACTGACATGCCCTGATTTCATCTCAGCGCTCCACCGAAGAAGCTCGTATGGAATGGCCCCAATATCGGACGCAGCCGTCAAACTAAAATGATCCAGATCACTGCACGCTAAAGCATTGCGACAGATGACTCCTGGAAGTTAGGCGGGATCAAACGCAGTGCCGCCTGGAGCCGACCGACATTGGATGCGACGGCTAATAAATCATTTTTAACATAAACTAATTCAATATTCATTAAAGCGCAGCATGACAATTTCCTGAAAAACTTCATAGATCAGGTCAGCAAAACAGCAGCATACTTCGTTCTCTCAGCAACCATTCAGGAGTGTACAGCGTTTAAAAACGTTCACTAAAACACGGACAAAAAGACAACAAAAGGATACCCAGAAATGGCATCTGTGAAGAAGCATAGCACGGAAGTTCATCATCGCTCATACAGTCTCTACTCTCTACATCACTTCAAGTGACTGAAAAACAAACATCAAAAGAAGACAGTCATCCAAATATTTCAAATCCCAGTTCGTAGACCCCGTAAGGCCTGTTCAATCTCAATCTACACATGAGACGTCGTTCTTACCTTCAGCGGTGTTCTTGAGGAGCTCATGTTCACATAGAAACTCGATGCCCTTCTTCGGGTCCATGTTGAACTTTTTCCGTCCGATGGAGAGCTGTTTCTTTTTCTGGTCGTTTTTCCTGCGGGCAGGCCAAAGGGGTCACGTTAGGGTGGTGTGAATGACCTAACTAAAGGTAAGCAGTAGGAACGGATAGCCGGCGTGTAAACTCCGGCTACAGAGCACTGGCGAAGTAAGGGACGCAGGACACACAAAACACCAAACTCACTACAATACGCAGTACGCACAATGCCACTAGGGACACTCCAACCAGCAAAGAGGGTGAGCTTAAGGACATAAGACGGCGCACACAGGCGCAAGAAGTAAAACAAAGAAGGGCTAACACATCACAGATCAGGAGACAGACCACATATTCCGGTGATTACATTCTGCGATAGACATGTTTGCACGGAAAGCGTGCACAACAAGGTCAAACATTGCTAACGTCCGTGAGTCCAGATCAGAGATCTTGCCAAAGAAATGTGCGAGATACACCACACCAGCAAGCAGATCATTCTGCTGATGTGGGTGACGATGGTGAAGGATTACAGCTTACAGAATAGAATAGAATAGAATAAATTTATTACATTAATCAGAACACGTACAAAACAATGCTTGCCAATTGGTGCAAAAGCAATATTGCTTAAATCGCAGCACCTTTCGGCTCTTACGTGCTATCGCCCGAGTCGGATCACCTCACCACTGCACGCACGCCCGCACAGACATAGATTGCTCGAGTAAATGGCGCCAATGATGTAAGAAAACGTCATTCACGCGAGCTAATCCAGGGCGTGAGATGAAGAGGATCCCACGTTGACGAAACACTGTCGTACAACATCCCACGTGACCAGCTTATCAACACTTTTTCAGCGCGTTGTCACATCTCACGTGACACACAGCTCAACGATCCCCGCCGTGATTGATAGTTCTGTCTGCAGTGACCATCAGACGTCTTAACGCTCACACAGCCGGTCACCGTGCTAGATTGCCGCCATTCAACACACCACCCTCCTTCGCAGCTTGGTGGAACGGAACAGGAGCGCTCCGACAAAGAGGGAACAGTTGCGAACCTCTCAGTTCTCAGCCAGCAATTACACGTTATTTATCGGCCTAGCAATGAGGGGCAGCCGTCTTCCCCGAAAGCAGGTCATTTCCTGCAGTGCAAGAAACCACTATAGTTAACCCCCAGATGATACGTCATTGCGGTAAATTATATCATGCTATTTGGCTTGAACAGTGACAGAATATCCAACAGCCGTTGGATGCATTCACAAAACAAATGTTGACTCTTCGGACAGATTAACTTCCAACAGCACAAACAATTGTGTCGTATAAATTCAATTGATCATCTTTAAATTACTAATTAATTCCACTAAATGCTAGGAATGTGTATCCAACTGATGCCAAATCCCTCCTCAATTTTCATCTCCCTTCCGCCTGTCCACCCCGCTGAGGCCACCCAGCGTTCCCCGCCACCCGCGGTGCGCAGTTCCCGAGGTGGAGCCCTCCGCCAGCTGGAGCGACCCGACGGAGATGGATCAGGAGGACCCCCTCCACTGCCCTCCGGGCCGGCCCCCTGCCATGACCTCCGCCGAGAGTTGGCTGCCGTCTCGGACCGGTCATGGCACCAGGGTAGACTGTTGGACTGGGCGCGGGACTTCATTGGCCTCCCGTGACTAATCCCACCCTTGGCGAGCCTCGTTTCCATCACTAGCCCCTGCCCACTCCCTCGTTCGTGACCCTTGACGGCTCTGTGACCCTGAACACCGACCTCTCGAGACCCTGACGGCCCTCCGTGACCCTCGGCGACCCTTGGCAGCACCCAGCGTACGCCGCCCACACTGCCTGGCCGTGGGTTCGCGCCGCGCTAGGTGTGGGGGCACGGCGCCGCTCCCCTCCCTCCGGCTGCTCGGTGCCAGCCTCAGCGGGGGTCTCTCCTTACCCTCTCCCCCGGGCGTCAGTACCTGTCCAAACCGCTCCCGGGGAGGGAGGGGCGCCTCCCCACCGTCAACCCGCACCTGCCCGTCGCCGTGAGCACCCCGGGCCCGTTTTACAGCCCGGTTACCGTCTGAGAGAGGCAGCTCACTGCACCGCCGCTGCCAAGGCTGCGGAGCAGAGGGTACGGTGGAGTGGCTGCCCACAAAGCCGGCCACGGCGGGAGGGAGTTTCACGAACCGCGCCGAGCGGAGGCTCAGCCGACCCGCTCAGAAGGCAGCTCTGAGAGCCGCGGGCCCCGAGACGCCGGCCGACCGGGTACCGGTTCCGAAAAGGTTCCATGGGTTCTGCACAGGTCCGGCTCTAAGCTCAGCTGAGGTTCGGTTAGATCCGCCACAAGCAGTAGCACTAGCTATTAGCTAACATGCAGTGGTAATGCTCAATACTGAGCTCTCGAGGCGTTGGATATTTTGACTAGAAGCCTGCTGAAGTTAGCATTTTCAACACCTACTTTATTATTTCTTTCTTATTCGTGGAATCTCCTCAGTAAGGCCGTTGATAGCGGGGACGGTATCCATTTCGTTCCCTTGTACAGGGGTTCCCTCACCTCGGTACCAGACAGCAGTGAGTCACGTACCGCCACAAACGCTGGACCACCCGCCCACCACCGATTACAAGACCGCCGCCTAGATTACGGGGATTATTATGCCGCCTTTCAGGGCGGTAAACTGCTGATATGATAGCCGCCGCCACCACCGGCCGAGTTATCGCTCACAGGCGGCCGCCGCTGACTTCAGGACCTCAGTCATCGCCGTGAGTTTCACCGGCTACCACATCCTTCCTGAGGAGCCACCGACGGCTTCTACAGACAGTCTGGAGCGGATGAAGAGGGAGAAAATCCTTCGCATATGGTCCGCTAACATGCAGGGGAGACATTCGCTCAGTATGACTGAATGTTGGTCACCTTCGGGCATGGTATCATGATTCAGTATAAATTATTCAAAACGAAGGACTCACAAGTTCTTCAGCTCGTGGTAGACAAAAATCCCAACTTCCGGTGACCAATGAATGAACACCTACCTTCCGGAAATCGGCATTCCAGTCTCCTTTACGTCACCGAGTCCCGGCGATGACTCAGCCTTGCACGCGACCTGGCGCACCGCAGAACCCCACTGGCGCGCGCTGCGCCGTACCCCACTCAATCGGCCCATCTTTTCCCGCTGCGTCTGATCGTGCCGGTGACTCAGCGGATCACCACTGGAGAAACACTCGTAGTAAGCAGCGGGCTGAGGCTGGGCGGCATTGTCGTGGAGGTCGAGACGGGCCAGGCGGCAGCGGTCGGGCAGGAACCGGGCCCGCCGGAGGCCATACCAGGGAGTGGCCGGTGCGGAGGTCGTCCGACGTCAGACGGACGGACGACCGCATAGCTACTTCTAGATATACACAAAGACAGACAGGCTCCTGGAGACGATGAAATAGAGACAGGCCTATATAGAGGCAACAGCACACACCTGTTGGTAGTAAAATACATCACGTCCATAAATTCACCACACCTTTACACAGATGGACAGAGAACTCGGTATGTAGCCAGCAGAGACAAGCAGATTGTAGGGGGCGAAGCCAGCTAACACTAGCCGTTACAACCATTTAGTGCATCGGTAGGTACGCCATCAATGCGTCATCAAAAACAGATTAGAACAATGAGCAGGCGGGAGGTGAATCAGGTACGTAGGTGCAAAGTGTGATGTCCGTTGCGTCATCTGATAACTGTCTAATTTCACAATGAACCGACTTGATTCACAGGTCTACAGGACAAAATCAAATAGTTATGAGGAAGTTTGTATTAATTCAGCCCCGCTATCTTCGCAAGGCTGGGAGGTCTGAAGGAAAGATCGCTGCAACGGGCGACTATCTGAGCTAAGCGGAAGAGATACGAGTACCGAAGTGGGCGCGAACGGACGATGGGCCCGGTCCACCCGAGAAGCTGGCCAATCAAGGCCACCGGGTCTAGGGGAAGACACAAAGAGCACCACCACCCACCGAGTTCCCATGGTCTGCCGAGGCCACCCGTGATTAACGCCCTCGTAAGTACCTGACCAGTCAGTGGAGGGCTCACAACTCCGGCATTACACCAAGGTCAGTAAATTGCCAGTCCATAGAAAACCGTCCCAAACTCTTGGCCATGATCCGTCCGCAACGAAAGACCTCATCTGCATTGCACGTCACAGATTGCAGGCTCACGTGACGTCAATCGACCGGTACCTCAATGATGCATGAGCACACCTTGACACAAGACACCAGGCAAAACGCCGCCATCTGTCAGACGGATCGCCGATAGACGAAACCTGAGGCGCAAACATCGACCCCTGGCCAACCCTCGCAGTACCGTTACATGTCCTCCAACCCAGCATCACCAGCGCTCCTCGTCAACAACACACAACGAGACGGGCCACGCGGGTCAGTCAACACCGCGACATCTCGCCAGACGTCCCCTCGGCGAAGCGCTGTCGACAGGGGACAGCAGCCGGTCCAGCGCAGCCTTAACGATGCAAATGATGCGGCGCCGGGCCGGTCCCGCAGCTGGTCCCGGTGTCTCCGGCAGGTGGGTCTGACTGTCTGGGACGCCGACCATCTGGCTGGCCAGACCGCAGAAGGACCGGCCGGACGCCAGTGGAAACGGTGGCGGCTGCTGTGAAGTCTAATTCTATAATAGGCCTCCCGGAGATATGCATGCCAAATTACATCGACAAAATGGATTTCCTTCCCAGCAGATATGATTACCTATTTATATGCGTGGAAACCAGAACTGTAAGCGTGCAATGTTGTGATGCTGAGAACACAATCTCTCCTGTGAAATACTATCAACGCTGTCACCATTGAGAGAAATCCTCAGCTTTCCAGTGCCAATTTGTCCACCACGAACTCTACGAAAGCTGCGCCCGCGCGACGCGGCGACACAGGCGACCAGCGCGGCGTTTCGGTTTTTCCAGCTCCAACACGGAGAGACGGTCAGTCCTCTGCGGAGCGTCCACTGACCGTCCACGACGAGAGACGGAGAGAGCGTCCGCATGAAGGCCATTTCGCGGCGACCACCACCGCCGGATGTGACGAGTTTCACGGTCAGAATAACGGCAGCAGTGGCCGGGTGTTTGTCGGACTTTCTCTGGCGCTTGGCGGCGGAAGGCGCAGAGTACCGATCTCCAGGACAGGGAGCGCCAATCTCAAGGACCTCTGTCGACTCGTGGGTACGCACCCATCTCCCTGTTCAGAAGTGTCAACTTCCCTCTATTTATAAATACGGACTCGATACATAACCAGACAATACTAGTGGTGGTCCATAATTGGCGGACGTTTTCTCTGGCTAAGAAACGTCAGTGCCAACTGTGTGCATATGTGGTCCCACACACACGCCATGAATACGGTGAAACGCGATACGACTGCAGCTGATGACTCCCCAGCCACATTAGCTTTGTTAGCCCACACGCGCACACCTGAGGCCGACCGAATGGGGGATGGGAGGAGCGGCACTAGAGCAGCACAGGACGGGGCAGGATATTGTAGCAGCATGATGCGAAGGGATGCTAGAATAGCGGGACGGTATGGGAAATCCGTTAGGGAATTCCGTCCGTTGGTCAGCACTGAGAGGATTGGCGGCTAGGTCCGCTCGGCTCAGCCGCACCAGCCGTCGTCATTGTTATTTCACCGTAATCAGATCGGCATCTGTAAGTCGGATCACATCCCAACGCTGGCCAATAAACTTTCATAAAGTACTGGCAGATATGGCAGAGAGATAGCGGTAAGTGGAAGTACTTCACCGCACACCCTCTGTTGACGAACACACTTAGGGCCGTTGCAGACGGCACTCCCGCTACGTGGGGTTAGGATACTTTACAACTGACACAAGACAGCCTGGTACTTTGTACTAGTTAACCAGTACCCTGTCCTTTTTACAAGGATACCAAGTACACGGTACTCACCCGTCCTCGCCTGACTCCACCGACTCCATGTCCATTGCAACCTCGCTGATCTCATCTTTCAGTTGCTGAAACGAACCAGAAACGCATCAGTCAGTTCACCAACGCACGCTGCAACACACACGCATACATACACAACGAGAGATCGTGAGACTATCCCGCCAGTAAACCCACACAAATCCACAAAATCCAATCATAGCCACAGCTCCACAAGCAAGCCTTATCACACCCCTTCAGCCCATGTAGTCACACAAAACTATGGAGCGATAACAAGGTGTGAACTGTCAACATCCACCCAGTTCAACCACGCTAGGAAGGAAGGACGGGGCGGGTGCCTTGGCGCATGTGTGATACCACTTCCCCGTTACACAGCAAGCGTTATCAACTGCAAGGTGGTGGTGAGCATGGTCGAAAGATGTTTGCATACATGTGCAAGCATATCTGTGAGTTTATACGCCCAATGATATCACGCGTGTGTACATAATGCAGGAATCTCTGATCAGCGAATGAATAAATCAGTCAACGTGTTTGCTGAGGTTAGCTGAACAGTTTGGCAAACATTAAGAGGAAAAGACACCACATGTGTTCCCCCGGCGTTGCAAGCTCGGTCAACATTCTTATCACATGCCGATCCCATGAGTCTCCACCTCCGTTTGAATTAAATTCTGACTAGCGACGCGCGGCTGCCACCCCTGCCATGGCGTCGCAGGCTCTCCCTGAGACGTCCAGTGACCACATGGTGACCTCTGCTCGGCGACCTCCGAGAGAATGTAATGAGTCATCGGCCACTCTTCCGAGATTTCCGGCGGTACCTCCCGCTGTTAGCCATCGTCAGACAGCTGCGGTTGGGCTGCACACTGCCACAGAGTGGGGTAAGCGCACTGCCCACCCTGCATATTTACGTCTGGACAACGAGTTGCGTTGGAGAGGCCGGAAATAGTGGCGATTTCAGGACCGCAAAAATGGACCGTCATTGGAATGATTCTTTTGGAAACCGTGCACTGTTTTCGGCCGGAATTTAATAGTTACTACAAAATATTTTGTAATTACGTTTCCACCAAGAATGAATGCCATCAGGACTAAATTTTTACTACTAATGCATTTTGTCAAGAAGCATATAGTGCTGTTATATTGCAGTTTTAGCGCGTTTGTTACAAAATATGAAGCGAATAAGCGTCAGTGTAATTCATCAGTTCAGTTCATCAGTGCCAGAAGTTAACTTGAGGGGGGGGGGGGGCTATGCTAATTGCTCTTGTCCATCCACTAAAATTTATTAAATATTTTGCTTTGTGTATTCCAAAAGGTGACGGAACTATTTCATTTGTGCCTTCATGTCAGAATTGAAGGTGGATCATTAAATTTTCAACGCAGTTTACAAACAAGCATTTCAATTTGGTCTTTCTCGTATATAAGCAGTGGCTAAGAAAAGGTTGATCAATCCTGAAGTTCAGTCATCGTACCTCAACTTGGCAGCAAGATCCCCAAGGACAGAGGATGTATTGTATACTGATACATGTCCTGTAAATCAAAACAAACAAGCATTTGGTCTTTCTTGTGTATAAGCAGTGGCTAAGAAAAGGTTGATCAATCCTGAAGTCCAGTCATTGTACCTCAACTTGGCAGCAAGATCCCCCAAGGACAGAGGATATATTGTATACCTGTCCTGTTAATCAAAACATTTTTGTGCCTGCAAAGGCTTAAGTTATCTGTGGTGTGTTCGGAGTTAGGCTATATGGCCGGTTTTGTTGTATGTTTATGTGGAGATTGAATATAACTGTGACCCTGTGCTTGTTTTTATACTTGGTCAAACAGGGAACAGCACATGCACATAACATACTCACCTAGCATCTAACTCATACCTGTACCCTGCAGGATCTGTACTTGTCTCGAGCATTAACAAAGCACCAAAGTAGCTTAGTACCTAATCATTTCCCACATTTTCTGAGCAGCTAACATGACATACAGCAGTGCAGAGCAGCTTCAGAGAAGAAACACTTTAAATGCACAGACTAACACCAGCCACCCAATGAGCCAGTTCCTCAGTTGACTGTTTCCCTGGATGCAGCTTGGCAATGTGAGCTAACTTTTGGCAAGTTGAAGGTTAGCACGTAAGATTGAGTTAGGGTGAGTACCTACCTACCTATAACTGGGTGCTACTGCTATGCAGGTCTTGGGTAGGCTGCAAATATGTGTGATGATTGAGGTTAGGTCAGCTGTCAGGTTAGTCAGGTACCTATGCTCATTGCTCAGGTCACATTTTTATGGACACTTGGCAAAATAAAAAAACTAACAATCTAATCTAAGCTAACCCGACTAAGCATACACAACTACTGACTATAGGAACTAAGCACCTACCTACTTGTGCCTACATCTCGTACCATGTCAAAGTAGAGTTCCTTGGTGGAAGATTACCCTCAGTACTTTTTATCCCAGCCCTGTGAAGAAAACTAATACTTCTAAGCTCTGAGTCACTGCTGGCCATCCACAGGAAGAAACACTGAGACAGAGCTTTGCCATTGTATATTGGACCAATTATCACTATCACGAATGACTATGAACACATTATATGATCACATCGTTGCATGGATTGTCACATTGACAATTTTACTACAATCCTTTTTCAAGAAGTACAGTGATGATTAACATCAAAATCAACATAAAGTGGATTTAGTGATCCAAGCTTTCTCCTCCAGTAGCAATGGAATGATCGCATGTTTCATTTGCCAGACACTGAGTAGGTACCTGATGCACATTACAATCAGCATAGCATCTAAGCATAGTAAAACTGCCCAAGTCCATTCACTCTAGATTTTTAACTTGATAGTTTGCACTAATTTATCTTGCTGTTGTAAGTTATTATTCAATATTCATACCAATACATCAATATGCGCTCATCAGTCAACATTTTCTGGCATGATCCTGCTCAGCGTGCTCTTCAGTATTGCTCCAAGGTCTGCAATATTATAGCTTGTTTTTGGCCAATACGCTCTTTTAATTTTACTTTTTCTTGCTGACATATGAGCCCAATCAACTTGCGTTTATCAACCAAAATTTCATAACTTGTTCAACTTGATATTGATATTGCTCAGGAGTCAGGACCTCTGTCAGCCTCCTGGATACTTCGGATTGTTTTCAGTCAACATGCTTCTTAAATATGATGTAAGTCAAGATTCAAAACATCCAACAAAACGACGTATAAGAGTAAGAAAACCATCAGATAAACTAAAAAATGGCCTTGGAACAGAGCAAAGTGGTGCTCCATTTGTTTGTTTACAATGATTGTAGTGCTGATGTATTTTTAGGACTCTGAACGTCGGCTTATAGAAAAATAAACGTTTTTACAAAAGTTGTAAGGCAAGTAATATTTATTTGAAAGAACTAAAACATTCAAAAGCCAAACATCATGAAATACATGAATCGGAACGAAAAAGTAACCCAAAAATCCAGCCTGATCACCGGCTCCTAAAACTGCAACAAAACCAGCACTTTTCCCCGCAACTCGTTGTCCAGACGTAAATATGCGCCCACCCTTCGTGGGAGGGTCCAGTCCTGTTCTTATGAGCATTTACATGAAGACATAGGTCATGGGAGACTGCCAGTGGTGGTTTTCTGGCCAGTTGATGCGGCATAGATGTGGGAAAATGTGATAACAGCATGATACAAATGAGTTAAAGGTGTCGGTGGGATGTTTGCTCGCGTTGGAAAAAAACTTCCCGACTGGCAAAAGCAGCATGAGACGAGCACAGACCACAGACAGACTCAGACCAGCGCGCTGGGGATGGGCCGGCCAATGCGGACTCCGGGCGGCCAGCACAGACCTCAGATAGCCCCGGACCGGACCTGAGACCGGCGCAGGGCGAGGACCGACCAGCACCAGGTGGTGGCACGTCCGGCCTGTCCTCAAAACGGTCCGTTTGCAGCCAGCGACCACAGCCGGCCGGACGACGATGCTGGCACGGCCGAGCTCTCACGTATTCCTTCTCCGCTTAGACTCAGCGCGTGCGCCGGTGCCCCGCCGCTACCCCCGAAAGTACCTGCCGATCGCAATCCACGACCGCACGGCGCCAGGTATCGCGCTCCAAGTCAGCCAGGCATGCAGCCACACCAGTGCAATGGGTGAAATGGTATGGGCACGTGGCCTTCTGCACAGGGCACCTCACGGACACGGGCGCTCGACCCGGTTCTTGGCGATTGGCGGTGGTGCAATGCTGATGGCCGTAGCTGGAATGCCTGTGGGGAATGCCGAAGGAATGTTTGCTGGAATGAGACTCATCCGTCTAGCCTGGGTCACCGCGCTACATCGCGTTTCTGCATGCGCCGTTGGGCCACAGCTGGTTCGCATCGCCAAGCGGAGAGAAAACGAACGCTCTCGCTCGGCGAATCTCTGTGTTTTCCTATCTGTGTTCCTGTCTGCAGTCAATGCGCCCAGCTGTGTGCAGAACAGCGGAACGAAAACAGCAGATAAAATGAGTCCCACTACATGAAACGTCACGTACTTACAGCGAAACTCAGGTTCCTCGTCAAATGGACCAGATGTGCCACTCACTAAACCAGTCATATGCATGCACCGTCCACCAAACTATAATAAAGCCTAGAATAATTTTGTTGTCCATTAATAGGAACGCTGCTTGGACACTTGTAACAGAGAGCAGATAAATATCACAACAATCGCACAATAACAGGCGGGAGAATTTCAACATGTGGTTGCCAGAAAACACCCCGTCCAACGCCACCACTAGCGCTAGCCCCACTGCCATGGACACAGCTATCATTAGATTCGGAGGGTGATTGACATGTCCATCAGACACCATGACCACAGGCCACAGCTGTGGTCACAAAAACCGATAACATTTCCGCCAGAAGCCGCCCTGGGCGGATCTGGCGAGACGTGCTCCTGCTCACTGCGCTACGTTCGGATTTTTATACGAGTCAATCGAAAGGCTGATAAAACGGCTTATTTATAGCACGACAGCCTCAGACAGGCCATAAAACAGCTGACAATTGAGCCCAAACAGCCTCCCGGATTTTAGTGGTGTTTGTTAGCTTGATATTTGTTTTATGAAACCAT